AGGGGGCAAGAAGGAAAGGGGCGCGCCCCCGGGGGGCTGCGGGGCTGCAGAAGCTGCGCTGCACCGCATCGCCGACACAAAAACTACTCGTCTAACGGTTCTCTGCTCATGTTTATTTCAGAAAACCCAGTTACAGGCACCGGCACCAAAGCCGTTGATGGCCAAGAGCGCAGGAAACAGGGGCCACGCGCAGCTGGAAGGAAACCTCATTGAAACACAAAGTCAGCCAAGCCATGCAACGGATCCGCGGCCCTCAGGCTGCTGTAGCTCTTCCTGAGGACTCCTCTTCAGTAAACCATCTCTAAGGACATGAATATAAGCTTACAAAGTCCCAGCTGCACGTGGTCAGGGTACATTTCTGTGCTGTGCAGCAGCATCTCTGCCCCTCCCCAGGCTGCACGCAGGTACCAGAAGGGACACAAAGACCCCGACTGCCTGCACAGCTTCACACGGGCCCTCAGACTGGACTCAGTCAGGGTCAGTAAGACACTGCTAAGACTGAGACAACAAATTTTGTTGCAAGAAACAAACCCTGATCATCATTTGAGACCGAGGTCCCCAATAACCTGTTCCCTGTGGAGGTTTTGGGCTATAACCCCTCACGCTGGGAGTGACTCAATCAAACGTGATCCGAAAGCTGCGCTCCTGCTCCTTGCGGCGGCTCCCGCAGACCTTGGTCCCCTCTTCCCCCTTCCTCTGCAGCACGGCTGTGGGAGAAACCAGGGATCACTCTCACAGCCCCCTGAAACACAACCCTGCCCAGCCTGACCCAAAGGAGGAGAAAGAAAAACACTTGGACAGTCACTCGGATCGGACACTGCACAGAGGAGGAGGAAAACCCAACACAAAGCGCGGCCAATCGTCCAAGACACACTCTGGTGTTACTGCACTTCCAGATCAGTAACTGCTGCTCAATGTGACCTGGAATGGGCTTTCCTGCGGGGGTAAAGGGGAATAGGGATGGATAACAACTAATTCTGAGCAGAGGCCTTTGATGAACATCAGGGGAATTCAAGCAGAGGAGAAACAGGATCATTGAACATGAGGAGGAGAAGATTCCTCAGGCACCCTCAGGGATACATGCTCAAGCAACACTTGCACACGTGCTACCTGCTTTCCATTTGCATTCAGAAAAAGCTGCAAGGCAACTCTCGCCTGAGTTCTGGTCAATCCACTGCAATGAATCCATGTGTGCATTCAAAATTTTACAGATCTGCTGAAGCTGAGGAGAAAGAGAAGCTACAAGTCAGTTGACAACCATATAACCTAAGAGCAGGAAAAGACAGCCTGCCTGTCCCTGCCTTTGGAACACGATGCAATCACATTCCTAATACATACACCTCCAATAACCTGGCAGACACCTGTTGAAACTGCATGCAGTGGAGTACCCAGAGTGGACAAAGAGTCAGAATTGTTTAAATATCCTTAGTCTCTTAACAAGTAAAAGATAAAGCTTGCATGTACCGGGTCACTTGTGTCTGCTGGGCCTCTTGATGTGTTCAGGTGCTCAATGATGTCCTTCAGATCTTGTGCCATACGCTTCAACTGAGCATCTATGTTTTCTGCCAGTTTGTAGCTGCAAAAGACAGCGGAACCAAGGTCAGAATGCTTGAAGTGAACTTCAGAAGACCTGCTACCAGTCCAAACAACTCCGGGTAAACAATTAGCTTCCAAAACTTTCAAGCAAGGCTTGAAACACATATTGTGATTACCCTGATACAATAAAACACTTCAAAGTTTATGAGGATGCATGAGCCATGTGTCTCAGTTCATTCTGCTCTCACCAGTGCCACCACTAAATAGTCACCAGTTTTCAGAGATCATGCCCAAATTAGTAACCTTTTCCCACACAGCTCAGTAGACCAACATCCTAAGAGATTCTCCTGCCAACCCAAGGGCTTCCACTCTCACTTCCCCCATTTCTAATGCATAAAATCAGGCTGCCATGCACATCACAGAGTCACAGGGTTGACAAAGGCCAAGACGAATCCATATTCTCTTGCAGCCCAACTCCACCCCTTGCCCATCCATCACCACCACATCAGTCTGCTCATCACACATCCCAAGCAGATCTGGCTCTTACGTCCTCTCCCGCTCCTCATCCGCGTGCTGCAAGTAGATCGTCCCGCTCTGCTCCTTCACAGACTCCTCCAGCGGCGTCAGCAAGTCCTCCAGCTCTTTCTGCTGGGACAGAATGAAGTCCA